AAACAAGCCCAGCTCCTGCAGTCTCTCCTCATAAGAGAGACGTTCCAGACCCCTAATCTTCTTTGTGCCTAGCCGCTGGATCCTCTCCAGTAGCTCCTTGTCTTTCTTGTTTTGAGGCGCCGAGAACTGGACACAGCACTCCAGATGTGGCCTCATGAAAGCCAGGTAGAGGGGGAGGATCATCTTCCTCAACCTGCTGGCCACACTCCTCCCGATGCACCCCAGGATACCGATGGCCCTCCTGGCAGCAAGGGCACACTGCCGACTCAGGCTCAACCCGTCACCCCCACTAAGACCCCCGGATCCATCCCAGCCTCCCCCCGGCCGTGGCGGAAGGGCCGCAGGGGGCGGGTCGCGGCGGCAGGAGAGGCACCGCCTCCCCGCCCGCCCGGCACTGCGGGGCCGGACAGTGAGGAGGAGCGGCGGCGCGGAGCTCCTGGCGGGCGGGTGGAGGTGAGAGGCACCGGGGCGGGACGGGCCCCATCCCCGCCGGGCGCTCCCCGGCCCAGCCGCGCGGGGCTTTCCCCGCTGCCCATCGTGGTGGCGGCGGCTGCGCCACGGCTGCCCCCGGCTCCGGGCAGGCTCTGGCGGTGCCGGGGCCCCACGGAGCGGAGCGGCCCGGTCTCCCACTGCCGGGCAGCCCCCGCCCCGCGGCGGGCGGGCCTGGCAGCACTGCCCCGGCTGTGCCCGTGGGGCGGAGGGGTCGGGCGGGCGATGTCACGGCGTGTTGTCGTTGCAGCTGGAGATGCCGGCCCGGACCAGGGCCCCGCCGAGCTGCCCTGCGCTGGATCCCCGCTCCGCGCTGCCGCCCGCCAGCCCGCCGAGGGGGCGCCGGTCCACCCCTGGCCTTCCGCCATCCCCGCGCCCCGTAAGTGCCCGCCCGGGCAGGGGTCACACACCCAGTGCCCGCCCGGCTTGCGCTTGTTCGGTTTGTTCCTCCAGCACTTGTTTTTCCATGAGCAATCTTTCACGAGTGTCACCGTCTGGCTTACACAGTGCTGTGGTGGTCTCTTAGCTTATCTAAGAGCAAATGTCAAATCTATGTAATTTCTTTTACTTTTTAGAACTCTCAAGGCATATATTTTGTAAAAGAAGGTTGTTTTTTGCTGTAGTCTGTTCCTGAACAACCCACCTCAGCTACTTCTTGTCATCTGCTTCCCATCTATTTACAAATGGATTGCTCAATAACTTGATGTAAAATCTGTCCAAAGGCTGAAGTTAGGCTAACAAGTCTTTGCTTTTCTCAGTCCTCCTCCTCCATCCTTTTAATGGAATGTGCTAGTCTGCCTGTCTTGTCCTCTCTTGAGTTCTCAAGATGTCACTTTAATTGGCATTTTAAGCACCAAGAGTTGGTTTCATATGTGTCTGCTGACTTTAAAAGCTTTAACTTTATCTTTTACTCTTAATTTACCTTTTTTGACTTTAACCTCGCCTTCTGTCTCCCTGTAAAAAGAATTTCGTTACATTGCCATTCACAGTTAACTTTTCTGCTGAGGGCTGAAATAAAGACGATGTTTAACACTTTGTCCTACTTTATATCACCTATCATTTGTTCCTTTTCCTCTGAAGTTATAAATTTTGCCTTCTGTCTTCTGTTTTTTATTGTATTTATGGAACCTTTACTTGTTACCATTTATGTTCTTCACTAGTTACAACTCACTTCTGTGCCATTGTTCTGATTTTATCCCTACACGATAGCACTGTCTTTTTAACTTTTTTTACTGTTCCTTAGCCATGCACACAAACCTTTATTTATTTATTTATTTATTGTGTGATTTTTCAGATCATTAAGGCTCCCCTGTTTTACTTAAAACAGTCTTACACACTCTTTCCTCTGAATTACCATCGTGCATTTAATGTTACCTTTCAGTTACTGCTAGCTCTCTGCTCTCTTTCATCTCTTGTATTACTTGCCTTAGAGTCATGTCAGCCTGTTCTCTGAGGTTTTTGTATGAAGTCTGTTAGTTTTATTCTGTTACTCACATTGTATTTTCCTTAGAAAGGGAGTGAGAAACTTCGGCTAGTGGGCCAAATTCAGCTCACCAGAGTAATTCATCATGTCCAATTCCTAAATGTGCGCTCTCCTAAGGATCCTTTGGACTAAAACTGAAAGTGGGCTGCAGCAGGTTAAATGGTACTGCTAGCCCATTTTCTCATGGCTGTTTCCTTTCAATCCCAAAGTTTTGCAGCGCCTTCATGTCACATGGAATGAACTGAAGTGGGCCTCTGTAATCACATGGTAAACTCATGCATGTTCTGTCATATCCAATTATATCTCTTATCTGATCAAAATACAGCCATTTTCATTATGTTCCTAGCTGTTAATCCATCATGGTGCAGGAAATAGTTTGGTCATGTGTTAGATACATTCCAGGACACACGGTAAGAAAGAAGTCAAGGTTTTTTTTCAGTCCGTACATAAAAATCTCTGTGGTTTGCCTCTGCCAGAAAGATTCACTGTTAGAATCTTTTCTTGGAATACTGCCTTTGTGGTCAGTTTCACATATCGCTTTCCATCTTTAGCATCTGAGTTCAGTTTCAGTGAGTTCTTCCCTTCTAGTCAAAGCTGAAATGAAAAGTACCCACTCTTTTAGTAGCTTCCTCCAATTTCCGAAACACAGAGCTACTTTTAGTTGTGGGAGGTTGTTCACCACACATGCTGTATTCCTAGCCAATGGCTGGGTAAAGTACGCCGCTGATGATTAGGTACCATCATATCACCTCTTGCATGGTGGCTCAGGAAGAGGTTCATTTGGTTCCTCCTTTCTATGTGTTCTGCTTTTGATTGCTCTCAAGACAGCAACCTCGTGGATCTCTTTGCTGTTTGTTAACCTGCCTTCCCTCATTGCCTCCTTCATTTTCAGAATTCATTCCTGTTCTAATATTGTATGGGGTTTGCCTGGCAAGGCTTTGGTAGCGGGAGGGGGGTGGAGTGCTATAGGAGTGGCTTCTGTGAGATGCTGGAATCTTACCCTGTGTCTGAAGGGGCAATGCCAGCTGGGTCTGGAAGGGACCCACAGCTGGCCAGGGCTGAGCCCACCAGCGATGGTGGTAGCACCTCTGGGATAATATAGGTAGGATAAAGAAAGAAAAAAGTAATTGTGGCCACAGAAGAGAGTATGTGAGAGGAACAACAATGTAGAGACCAAGGCCTGTGAAGGAGGAGGAGGAGCTGCTCTAAATGCTGGAGCAGACATTCCCCTGCAGCCCATGGTGCAGCCATGGTGGAGCAGCCTGTCCCCTGCAGCCCAGGGAGGTTCCCGGTAGAGCAGAGAAGGAAGGAGCCCCACACCAGTGCAAGTGGATGCCCGAAGGAAGGCTGTGACCCTGTGGGAAGCCCGCTCTGGAGCAGGCTTCTGGCAGGACCTGTGGAGAGGTTTCCCGGTAGGACTTGTGACCCTGTGGGGAACCTCTGCTGGAGCAACTTTTTCCTGAAGGACTACAGTCCGTGGAAGGGGCCCACACTGGAGCAGTTTGTGAAGAACTGTAGCCTGTGGGAAGGACTCAAGTTGGAGAAGTGCATGGAGGACTCTCCATGCTGGGTAGGGGAAGGACTCCTCTCCTTGAGGAGGAAGCAGCAGCAGAAACAACATGAAGTGAACTGACCAGAACCTCCATTCCCCATCTCTCTGCACTGCTTTGGGGGAGGAAGTAGAGAATTGGGAGTAAAGTTAAACCCAGGAAGGAGGAAGTGGCGGGAGGAAGGTGCTTTTTTGGGGATTTGTTTTGCTTCTCATTATCCTGCTCCAATTTTGATTGGTAATAAATTCGGTTAATTTCCCCAAGTCAAGTCTGTTTTGCCTATGACAGTAACTAGTGAGTGATCTCTTCCTGCCCTTATCTCAACTCATTTTTGTTACATTTTCTCTCCCTTGCCCAGCTGAGAAGGGGAGTGATAGACCAGCTTTTTGGGCACCTGACTTTCAGCCAGGATCACCCCACCACAACAGTGTATAACCACTTACGTCATAACTGTGGTTTCACGTGAAGACTTCCCTACTGGGGGTTGTTTTTTAATGTCTTTGTTACAGCTTTATTGCAGTTCTGTGACCACTTCTCTCCAAACATATAGTAGTATTTATTTTATTTTCCAGTGAGCCTTAGCCTCTGTCCTTCAAAGCATCCCTTACTGTACTGAATTTGAGTATTAAAACTATCTTCCCTTTTATTATTGCATGAAATCTGTCTTTTTCTGCCATTAGTTTTTTGTGGAACGCTGTCCCATGTGTTTATGTTCAGGACTTATCTTACTTATCTGGTCAGAAATTTCTGTTAAGCATATTTGTGACCCATGGCCTTGAATCCTTTGCCCTTGCATCCACAGTTAATCCTTATACATCCTTGGCCAGACCTAGCAGTCTGACCTAGAAATGTCATTAGTGATCTCACGACTAGGCCTTGATAAATTTCCCTTGTTGTCTTTGCCGTTGGATCCATGTGGGCAGCCCATTTTTCTAGGCTGACAGCTGGATGTCTGTCATGGTAGTAGCCATGACATTTGCAGCTTTGAGACTTTTGCATCCCTTCCTTCATGACCAATAGAGGATATCACAGTAATAACCTGATAAGCTTTTAATGGAGTTCAACTTCCATGAACTCACTGTCCTCACACCAATCCCAGGCCAGTGCTCTCTACTTTCTAACATTTTCCATAGTTATCCAGTTTTTCTAACATATTTCTTCTCATTTTTCTGTTGACTGTTAGTTTCACGAGCCCAAAGTTATCTTGTGGTCTAGCATTCCAGGGCAGTGGAAGAGGGAATAGGAGAAGATGAAAGAAATATTATTTACTAATGGAGCTGTATTATTGAAGTGCTTGAAGTGTTTTATATTTTTTATTGCTCCTTCTATTAGTGACACATTGCAAGACAAAATTGAAGAGCACATACTTTATTAAGAAGAAAATATAATATGGAACTTAGAACCAAAGATTTTGTTTCCAAAGGTGTTTATGGATTATGATGCCTCATAATTGTATGATATTGCATTTTTCCTTCTGTTGTTTTCTCTTTTTCCTTTTCTCTTCCCCCCCTACCCCCCGAAGAAATCATTGTAGGTTTCGTGTCTTGGAAATATGGAATCAATCTCTATGATGGGGAGTCCCAAGAACCTCAATGAAACTTTTCTACCAAATGTTGCTAATGGTATCAAGGATGCCAGTAAGGTCACGATAGGCATCATTGGAAGTGGAGACTTCGCTAAGTCATTGACAATTAGACTCATCAGATGTGGGTACCATGTGGTTGTAGGAAGCAGAAACCCTAAACATGCCGCTGAGTTCTTTCCCCATGTGGTTGATGTCACTCATCATGAAGATGCAGTAGCAAAAACAAACATCATTTTTGTAGCCATACACAGAGAACATTACATCTCTTTGTGGGACCTCAAACATTTACTTGCTGGTAAAATTCTGATTGATGTCAGCAATAATACAAGAGTAGACCAATATCCGGACTCCAATGCAGAGTATTTGGCATCACTTTTTCCTGATTCCCTGATTGTCAAAGGATTCAATGTCATTTCAGCTTGGTCACTGCAGTTAGGACCAAAGGATGCCAGCAGACAGGTAAGTGCTATTATTTGTATAAATTTAACTTTCTTGTAAGATGTAAATGACAGGAACTGAATGTAAGCAGCCAGAACTCATGGGATTCATTCTGCTTGACTTACCTAATATGCTGGGTGGGCCTTTAGCCTATGTTTTAGTAGCCAATAAAATTTCCAGGGTCGAGTTCATCCCATTGTAAGACATAGACTAAGTGGTCCGAATTTTTCCCTGAGTTGCCTGTTTATCTTTAAAGATTGCAGGGGAAACATGGATACGATCTTAGAGTAGACAGATGACCTTTAGATGACTACATACAGATGAGAGGAGTTGGGTCTTAATGTTTTCCATAGGAAATACGTTCACATCTATCCTTATGCTTTATACAAGGATAGAGACAGTCTTTCCCAGTATATTTGAGTTTTGGTATTGGGATAAACTATTGAAAAAGATGCATAGAAATCTGAGCTCCTGATCCCAGGGCTTAGGAGTCAACTTTTCTAAAAATACTTGCTTCAAATAGCAGCAAAGGGATTGAAAGAAATTTTGTACTTTTAGTTGCCCCAAAATCATAAATATGAGGAAACAGAAGGAGGCACATTCGTTAGATCCAGGACTACTTGAGAACATCATGTTCAAATTCCTTCCCAGTATGTTCCCTAAATCCATCCTGCATATAGAAAAGGCATCTTTATGTTTTTCATGCTTTGCTGAAGTGATACAAAGAATTTAAGCCTATGCAGGAATCCAGTCCTTCACAGCTTTATGGGCTCTGAGAAATACATGAGAAATGACTGGTGCAATGTGACTACTTTGAGAGATTAAACTGAGTTTTCTGACTCTTCAGGTAGATTTAAATGGAATGCAATTAATACAGAATTAGCGTAATTTTAAAAATAACCTCGGCAGACTCCTTTTATCCCCTTTCAGAATAGCACTGCACTGTTAGTAATTCACTTCTGTCAAAACAGATCATGTTTGCTCTAATGCAGATGATCAGCAAACAGTGTTGGGTAAACTATAGCCCATTGTAAATTTTAAAAGAACCTTAAGGTACTTTGTAGCAGTGCATTTTTTTCACTGTGTAATAAACTGGTCTCTAGAAGTAGTTATTATCTGTCTTCTAGTTTTTATCTTTGCTGATAAACATTCAAATCTGGAATCCGTGGAAGTCTGGATTGTGAAATGAAGTTAAAATTATTACATATCGAGAGATTACATAGTTCTCTGCTTTGCATTCTGTTTATGCTACAGCTGTTTTAGGGTCATCATTTGAGATTCCTGTATTTTTGAGAGAACTTGTGATTTTCTGAAATGCTTTTAGCCATTGTTTCAAGTTCAATCCAGTCCTGTAGACATTTCAGTATGGGGGGTTTCAGTGTGCAGATTGCAGGATATCCCACGGTCAGCTCATCAGTAACGCCAAGATAAAGCCTATTTGGTTTGCTTACTGTTTTGCTAAATCAATGGGCATATTTGCACTTTGGCTGGATTTTTATGTGATTTCATTCTCATCTTGGTGATATGAGGTGGGATAACAGTTTACAGTTTTAGCAGTAGTGTCATAGTTTTGATCTGAAGGACCTTAAGGTTTTTGTTGGGTTTTGTTGGGGATTTTTCACCTTTGAGTCTCTTTCTGTGACTACAGACAGTTGCCTTGACTTTCCCAACAGGTCTATATATGCAGTAACAATGTTCAGGCTCGCCATCAAGTTATTGAGCTTGCCCGTAAGCTCAGTTTTATTCCTATTGATGTGGGGGCATTGACATCTTCAAGGGAAATTGAAAACTTGCCTCTGCGACTGTTCACCCTGTGGAAGGGGCCTGTACTGATCGCTATTAGCCTGGCAACATTTTTCTTCATCTATTCGTTCATCAGAGATGTAATCCATCCATACATGAGAAACCAGCAGAGCGACTTTTACAAGATTCCCATTGAGATTGTGAACAAGACTCTGCCAATTGTTGCAATCACTTTACTTTCTCTAGTGTATTTATCAGGACTTATTGCAGCTGCTTACCAGCTTTACTATGGCACTAAGTATCGGCGGTTTCCACCTTGGCTGGACAACTGGCTCCAATGTCGAAAGCAGCTTGGACTGCTCAGTTTCTTCTTTGCAACAGTGCACGTGGTGTACAGCCTGTGCTTACCCATGAGGAGATCGGAGCGGTACTTGTTCCTCAACATGGCGTATCAACAGGTGAGGCAGTCTTTAGGTCAGTGAGCCAAAAAGGCCTTTGCTGTGTGCATATGGCTCCTGAATACTATGTATGCGTTTTCTTAGTTTGTTCTAGTGTTTTCAGCACAGAATGTAATGTGTTACCTTATGCACAGCTGGTGCCAAATAAGGAGACTAAAAGAAACTTCTGTGCATTTTACTCAGCTTGTGGGTCAAACTGCAGTCACATTTGTGTGGTAGGGGGAGTCAAGGACGTGTCCTACTGAAAGTCCTGATAGTAATATACACAAGGAGAATATAGTATAGACAGGATAAGAGCAACAGCAGGAAAATTCTGAGGTATGTTCCTCTCTATGTATACTTAACATATGAGGGAAGTAGGTATATCATAAGTGCATTTAAGAGTACGAAAAGTATAAGGGTAGATACTGTGATCATTATTACGGATACATCTGTGTTAAAAAAAAAAGGAAAAGAAAATGCTGATACTTTTTAACATTTTGGACCAGTGGTAAAATGACTTTATTCATTTAAAATTCTGTGAACATAATCTCTTGCAGGCAATAGAGATTGACTCACAGTTCCCAGGAACAATTGGTCTTGCATAACCCTGAAACAATCTCCGACAAATCTGTCATCCTTTAGAAGGGAGTCAGGCAGTTTACTGTCACCTTTAAAGTAGCAGAGAAGCAGCACTGCCAAAAATACAGCATTGCCATTCTGCCCATAAAATCTGTGGGAAAGAGAGGTGTGACAGAACAGAAAGGAAAGCGCACTAAGGAAATAAAATCAAATGGAACAAATTAACAGAGATTGGGTCCACAAACTCTGAAAGGGCTAGCATGAAAAAATGAGCTTAAGGGAAAGACAGGAGGGGCAAAACGATGGAAGACAGCAAGAAACTGTAATTGTTCACACTTAGAATTAGTAATACTAAAGGATCCACTGATGCTTTTACTAAGAAATTGCTTTTAATGATATTGTAAAACTCTCACTTGCTAATATTGCTAGTGAACCTCTTTTAAGGCATGTCATATTGCAATATTCCACCTGAAAGTGGAAAATAGTTTAATATCCAAGCTTCTTAATTGTTAAGGTCTTGAGTTGTTTCTTTTTTCTGGTAAAGCTCTCTAATGAGAACCCTGAGACTAGCTCAGCTGGTTAGAGCCTGGTGCTAATAACACCAAGGTTGTGGGCTCAATCCCTCTGTGAGCCATTCACTTAAGAGTTGGACCTTTTGGGTCCCTTTCAACTCAGAATATTCTGTGTATCTGATGTCAGGAGTGAAAGAGACAAACTAGCTTGGACTAGGGAGATAAAGCAAAATTGGGAAATTATGCTAAACTATTTCCAAATGTAACAAACTAAAAACAAATTGCAGGTTTATTCAATTTGTGTACAGAATTTAAATTTGCAGGGTCTGAAGAATACATCTGCTTTTCTACTGTGCATAGGAATGTGCGGAATTACCTGATTTTATAACAGAATTGTTGTAAATGGCTTATAATGTTACAGTTTCATTTAACATCTAAATTTCCTTGTTTAATATATTTTTAATCTAGCAAGAGCCAGTCCCAGCAGTAAGGAAATAGTTGTTTTTCTCTGAGACATGAGGAAACCTCTGAAGTATTTGACCCCATTTTATAGTTGTCCAGTGACTGTGGACTTTTAAGTCTGCAAAATAACTTCTGTTGGTATTTTTAATATTCTGTAGAATAAAGTTCTTCCTTTTTTCTTTTTCATCAGGTTCATGCAAATGTTGAAAATTCTTGGAATGAGGAAGAAGTGTGGCGAATTGAAATGTATATTTCCTTTGGAATAATGAGTCTTGGATTGCTTTCTTTGCTGGCAGTAACTTCCATCCCTTCAGTAAACAGTGCCTTAAACTGGAGGGAGTTCAGTTTTATTCAGGTGTGTTGCTTTTTGAATAATGGGGGTTTGTTGTTAACAAGAATTCCTCAATCATGATCATGATCATAAACAAAAGCAAATTGCTACGTGACAAGAGCTTTTTTTTCCTCTCTGGTAATTTAATAAAAACAACATATTCTTACTTAGCAAATATATTACCATGAAGGCACATAAAGCATTTCATAAATGTTAGAATAGGACTTTACATTTTACACTTCTTGGTCTTAAATAATCAACATAGCTAAGACCAAATGATCACTAATCTATTCCTTTTCCAGTGTTAAAATTTCTCGCTAAATTCAAATTAGATAAATTTGGACAAACTTACTAAAGGCAGTGATACTGCTGAGATACTACTATATGTAGATGCACACAACTGTTAAAATTGAAGACTTAATTTGTCCTACAGGATTTTTATTGCACAGCTCTCTGACAGCCATGGTGTCCTTGATTTAGTTTTGCTTCCCTTCCACTGTGTGGGACTTGACACAGCTCTCAACTGCATTATTTCCATTAGCTGAAAATACCCATTAGTAAAACATGAAGTTTTGTTTATTAAAATCAGTGGCTTTTCCAGGCTCTGGCACACCTTCTGCTGCCTTCCTTCCTCAGATAAATATCTACAACAGGCAGGCCTAACCAACATAAAATACTGAGAAATATCAGCTTCAATAAACAGCTTAATACTTGCTTCTACATAAAGTTGCCATTGGTTTTAGGTAGCAGTCAGGTATAGGAAATTTTATTAGGATTTGGTCTGATGAAAATTTCCTAAGTGTGTACAGTTTGGGCTTTTGTTATGTTGTGTTTTGTTTTCTGACTTTGACTTCAGTAATGTAGTCTTAACTCAGTCTTCTCTGATTAACAGTTTTTTCAGCACAGCCATTGAAATAATATTGCCTAATTCTTAGTCCTGTTCGCTTCAGAACACAGACACTGACTTTACTGTTCAGGGTTTGGGTTTAACTTTACAGACATTTTAAAGGGAGTGGTGGGGAACTCTACAATGGCTATAGGTGTCTGAGGTCTTCTGTCTGTAAGGTAATGTCTTCCCTTCCCCTTGGGTTTCCATTGCTGGAACACTGCAGGTAGACCTACAAAAAGTTTGCTGAAAAGTTTTCCAAAGTAGAGTTATCCTGACAGAACTGTCTATCCATACTCTTGGCTTTGACCCTTCAGAGCAAGTAAATACCAATTGTATTGTTACAACATCCCTGCCATCTGGAGTTCTCTGTGTGTGGACAATGGTACTGCTATTGGGTGATTTAAAACATTAGTGTAAAAGGGAAAAACATGTTTTCACTCATGAGTGACATGATGTCTTTATCCAGTAATGACTTCCAGACACAAACACAGCATTTGTGTCTTATTTTTCCTTTCTCAAATTTCGGGCTTGTGTGACTGAATCAACCCACACAACAACCACAATGATGTATATCTGCACGAGCATTTTTTATTGTATCATATTTACTGCAGTTATTTCCACTGTAAACAAGTCAAAATAGTTCCAAATTTGAACAAATATGAACTCTAATGAATCATCTATGAGTATTTTGCTCTGGAGGTATGTTACAGTTGAAACTGATATTAGTAATTAATTATTATCATTTGCAATTTTTAATCACAAAAAACACTGAACTACTAAAAATTTCCTTAAAGTTAACGAATATTAAAGATAGTTTACTTTGTCATTAATTACTTCTCAGGGTGTAAGTTGTTCTTCATTACTTGTCCAAAAAAGTCGGTTTTTTTTTTAATCAAAAAACAGACTTTCACTGATTCCTTACTAAAGTAAAAGGAGTCTGTATTTCTGCACAAGCTTCATTGTACCCAGTATGCAAGTAGAACAGATAGAACATCATAGTAGTTACTGTCTTTTATATTTTTCTTCTACTGATGTGCAGTAAGATGAAGCAAATTTGAACTTCATTTTCTTAATCTTCTCTTAAGTCAGAGGGACAAACAATGGAACTACTAGCCCACCATCTCAATGCTGCTTTTCTTTTAGCTGGGAAAAGCAGTATGTTTCTAGCTTTAGTCCTGAATCTCAGATGATTTGCCACAACAGTTGCTGAACTTCTTTTGCTTCTGACGGATGAAGAATCAGTCAGTCAGCACACTCAGACAGTTTCTCAGCTCAGCACTTCCCACTGAGAATAACATACTATTGCTTGTTCATCTTAGTAAATGCAGTTTCATCAAAATGAGGGTCTGGCCTCTTCTGAAGAGTTTTACCACTAGGACATATTCAGTCTTGAGTCCTACTAGGAAAATCTGAATTTATTAACCTACACAGTATAGACGATTTTCTAGCCCCGTTCCAGTAGTACAAGCCCTAAGTAGCATCTCCCCTACCCACAGTGGTTCAAACCAACTTTACCACAGTCTTCATAATACTGTAAAGAAACCCCAGTTGTGAATGTTTCTACCCAGAAATCATTGTTGTCTTTGATATCCCAAATTATATTTTGGAGATGCCTCCATCTTGCCTAGCCTGGCTTCACAGCACAGGTGTCAGGAGCCCCAAAAATTCCAGCCTGCATCATTGGGGAAAAAGGACTTTGAGAGGACAAGCAGTGCAGGTTCCACTCATGCTCTCAGAGTATAAATATGAACAAAGTAAGATATGAGAAGGTTTAATAGTGTAAAAGGAAGTTACTGTGTCAGTCCTAGAGGGAGCTAGGAGACCAGCAGAAAACGGAATTGCTGCAGTACAGAGCTGACTACTGTACAAAACAATGATCTGATCACTTCATCACGATTCAGAGAGAAACACTCATAACGTCTGGATAGAGGAGCCACAAAACGAGGCAGTGATGAAGAGTTTGCTCAGTAGGAGATCCTAGATGATGGAAACTTAGCATGAAAGTTAGCAGGCATTGAAGCTTACTGAGGAAAGCAGCAGGGAAGAAAGCTGGGGCTGATAAACTAATGCATTGGTTTGCTTAAATGCCACTTCAGTACTCTTCTTTTTTTCTTCTAAACATATTTGGATAAGGAACAAAGATAGACATGGACAAGAAATACAAAAGAATTCATATTTTGCCATAGCAGGCAGAATAAACAGCCTAAACCAACACACTGCAAACAGAAAAAGGAATTTATTGAAACCAGTCCTTGAGCAGTCACATAAAATACAAGGAAATGGAGAATGTGGTCTGCAAGCAGTGCTGCACTGGACCTTCAGTCTTCTGAGGGAAGTTAAACTGTAAATATATAGTGTAAGCATTAGTGACTGCTGCTTTTGTTTTCCAGTCTAAAAGTTGAAGTCCAAAACCCATCACTCAAAGTGGCAGTGGACAGAGCAGACTGGCTTTGAAAGCTGAGCTTTATGTTTTTTAGCAAAAATCAGCACAACTCAACCATTTGTGTAATAGGAAGCTGACCTTTTTGTAGACATTCCTTTTCTCTGCTAGCACAATCCTAAAGCTTTTTGGAGACAGTATTACTAAAACTTTTCCTGTGCATATGCTTTGAGGAAGGGCTGCCCTGCCTTGGTTCTCCCACAAGAATAGGATACTTATTCCTCAGAGTAAAGAAGATTGAGGCCTGAGTATTTAACAAGTTTATGGGTAAGATTCCAATCAGAGTTGCTACAGGTGGTTTATAAGTTTAGCAATATCCTGTTACTAGGGGAATCCAATGTATATCTTGCATAAATGTAGACTTTAGAAAATACCTTTCATAAATATAAATTGCTTGGAATTATTCAACTGTTGTGAAGGTAGAAATTCCTGAAACAGATTTGCCCCACAGCAGATTATTGTCTCTATATATGTACATTTTTCTGGTAACATTTTAGGGATTTTTCTCTTTCATCTTTTCCACTCCTCTAACTTTTGTTGGTTCTTTTCCCAAACAATGCCAGTTTGTCTAGTTTATCAGTAGTCCTGGCTGGGAATCTCCCATATTAGCTAAAAGATTGATCAGGAAGGAAAAGAAACAAACCAGGGAAGACCTAGAGAAAAGCTAAAAGATTGGGGAGTCCATAGGAAATGTGCTAATCTCTTACTCAGCTTTCAGGAAACACAGTATTATGGAAGATAAGGAAGCAAAACAACCAAAGATATTCTTCCCCTTTTCCCAGCAGCCATCCTAGAGCCTAGGCAGAGGGTTCCCAAGATTTACAACTGATGTTGCTGCTCTCTGTCCCATGTGAATTTACCAGTGAAGAAAAAGTATTGCTTCTTGCTGCTTTCAGAAGTCCTCTACTCCTAAAGAAGTTACCATCCTGTGCCTGGTGGCAGTAATTAAGGGACTGGTAGAAGAAGATAGCATTAGTAGCTGACAGAAGCTCCTATAGGAATGTCTTTGTTAGATTATTAGATGTGTGGTTGAAATTGTCCAGTGCACAGTAACACATGCCCTATCACCACTTCAAAGAAGCATGCCACAGGGCAAAAAAAAGAGAACTTAATAAAGGTGCATCGTATGTTTTTCTTGTCCTTGTGTTGTTAGTTCAAAATATACTGATGTACTTCTTAGCTTCTATTCTGCCATTAGATAGAAAGACTTGCATAGATATCTCAAAACTAGAACTTGCAAATTGAGTTTAAATAAGCACTAAAATTAAAAAAATAAAGGGAAATGACTCTGTAAAATTTCCTTTTTGTTTCTTTTTCAAGAATTGTTATAGTTCTCATCACTAATCCTGATGAAGAAGTGAGGGATATGATTCACTTGTGCCCTTCTCCCTGTTGGCGGTGATATAACAACTATGAATTCAGGACAGTCATAGCAGCAAAAATCTGCAATAACATATTAAAGCATCAGGTTTGATAGTATTGTTTGCTGTCCAAACTTCTTACCAGAGCTTCCGTTCAGATACCGCATATGCCCTTTTTATATCTACAAGTATTTCTCTCAGTGTTTCCTATGGAATATTTTGGCAGCAAATCGTTCTTTTTAAAAAAGAAGTGTGCAGCATATCTAAAGCTTAACAACCAGACCCTGAAACCATTGGCAAAAAAGGTGCATAAATATTGCCAAGTCAACAGGGTGCCAATCCCAAGAAATTAAAAAAAGTATTTTCCTTTTATACCATTATATCTGTGAATCCTTGCAAAAGTATTAGCTCAGACATTCTCCTTTCCCTAGAAATCGCTTAATCTTGAAGTAGATGGAATTATTTCTTTCACTACCTATTATAGACCCATAGGCTGCATTTTTCTTTGTGTCTCCATGTACTGGAATTAAACAATACCTTGGTAGCCGCTTACCTTTCTTAATATTCTTTCTCTGTTTCAATAATATTCTATAAATGTTTCCCAACCAAGTTAGTCATTACATCAGTTTGGGCCAAAAAGAATTTTCCTTCATTTGATCACCACCAAAAGTCAAAGCATAGTAGTCTTTTTTTATCATGATTTGGGAAAGTTAAGGTTAATACTTTATTAAGTATTTAATTGAAATTTGACAATTTAATAATTATCAAGTCTTCAGAGCATTACAACTACAGGGTCCTTAGAAAGGCAGATCCACAGAAATAGTGACCCCTATTATCACCACCTTCTGTGGTATGCTCTAGATTCCATGGTAAGAGGTCCTCTACAGGGTGCTGTGGGAACCTTCTACTTCACCTTTCATCTAGTACTGCCTGTTTATGATAAACTGCATCATTGTTTTGTGCTGTTATGCCCAAGCCCTGCAGTTCAGATATTCCCATTAACCAGTTGGGAACAGCTGATGGAGAAAAGTAAGGCATGGTTTATGCTAATGTCAGACAAGTGGATGCAAGTCTTTGTAAGGAAGAAGTAAGCTACACATCTCAGAGTGATAAAAATCTGCAGTGTTAGGCCCATATCCCTTCCAGAAGAATTGCATTGTTCCATAATAAGGCATCTTGGAAGTGATCTATTCTCATAGTTAAGAAACGGGAAACTTAATTTCCAATCACAATGGATGTTGTTCCAGTAACTACACTGGAGTTGTTCCTTATTTGCATACATATCCTGAAGTTGACTTCCATTACTTAGGATTTGGGCAGACATCATTTCAGTTTTGACTGAAAGGCCTATAGATGTTAGCAGAGATACATTGTAAATCAGTGCTCAGTTCAGTCTGTGATTTTCAGAACATGTGAACTTACAACCACATATTGCTAATTTAATGTAGTGAATAGGTAAGAGATTTTAACATGATGTCTAATAAATGTTAAAATAATGGGTTAGAGCTGTCAGATGAAGGACCAGGTACTATTATATCTCTTTTTTTTCCCTGTTTTCTCTTTTTTTCAAAGTCAACACTTGGATACATTGCTCTGCTTATAAGTACTTTCCATGTACTGATTTACGGATGGAAAAGAGCTTTTGAAGAAGAGTATTACAGATTTTATACACCACCAAATTTTGTTCTTGCCCTTGTTCTGCCTTCCGTTGTAATTCTAGGTAAGATCATTTTACTTTTGCCATGTGTAAGTAGGAAACTGAGGAGAATTCGAAGAGGATGGGAGAAAAGCCGTGTTATAGAAGAAGTAAGTGGGTCTGTTCCACATCTCTCCCCAGAAAGGATAACTGTAATGTGATGATATTTGTTATCACTGTTGTACACGTTTGGGGTTTTTTGTCATAAACTTGTATTTTTAGAAGTTAAGTAGTAGTAAAGTCACTTGCTTGGCATATGGTACAAGCTATGATACTACCAAACTATGAGAAGTTTAAAACTGGATGACTATTACTTCTGATAACAACAAAAATATTTTTGTTTTGAATTACAGAGAGCAGATTATTATGAAATCAAAAATTTTTTAATGTTCCTTTCCACAGTTACATCACAACAGTATTTTATTACAACTATGCTTTTCAGATACTTCTTTGACTTAGAGCATATGCGTCAGAGTGCTGTTTATTAATACCACATTTTCTGGGCAGTATTTCTTCTAGTAAAACCAGACTTCTGTTACTGAGTTCAGAATATAGATAAATAATTTAGGACATAATCATGTTTTGAAACAAATTAATTTGTAATGATCACAGAATCATATAATCACAGAACAGTTTGAGTTGGAAGGGACCTTAAAGATCATCTGGTTCCAACCTCCCTGCCATGGGCAGGGACACCTTCCAATAGACCAGGTTGCTCAAAACCCCTTCCAACTTGGCCTTGAACACTGGCCAGGGATGGGGTATCCACAGCCTCCCTGGGCAACCTGTTCCAGTGTCTCACCATCCTCACAGTGAGGCATTTCCTCCTAATAACCAATCTAAACCTACTCTCATTCAGTTTGAATCCATTCCCTCTTGTTCTGTCACTACACGCCACTGCCCTCTCCAGCTTTCTTGTAGGCTCCCTTCAGGTACTGGAAGGCTGCTATAAGGTCACCCCCAAGCCCTTTCTTTTCCAGGCTGAACAATCCCAATTTCCTCATAGGAGAGGTGCTCCATTGCTCTAAGCAACTTGGTGGCCCTCCTTTGGACTCGCTCCAACAGCTCCTTGTCCTTCCCATGCCAGGGACCCCAGAGCTGGATGCAGCTTTGCAGGTGGTGTCTGTAGAGGGACAGAAATCACCTCCCTTGTCTTGCTGGCTGCACTGCTTTTGGTGCAGCCCAGGATACAATTGGCTTTCTGGGCTGTCAGCCCACATTGCCAACTCACGTCCAGCCTCTCATCCACCAACACCCTTAAGTCCTCAGCAGGGCAGCTCTTGATCCCTCCATCCCCCAGCCTGTATGGATACCAGCGGTTGTCCCAACCCAGGTGCAGCACCTTGCACTTGGTCAAGTGTATTGCACATGTACAGTTTATTTATTTCTTTGTGGTTTTACACCATTCCATGATTTGAATATGCAAACCCAGTTTCAATTATGGTGTGATTGTACATCTTCTAAGCAAATGGTATTGTACTAGTAGTGTAAATTTTTTTCAAAGTATTACATAGGATTTTAGACCTTTGGCATCTCTTTATTTACATGCATTACATAATGAAGACTCAAAACATGCTATACAATTATAGAAATATATGTGTGCAAGTAACTAGTTTTTGATTTTTGAATGATTTTGAAATATCAGGAAATATTTTAAAAACAGAAAGAAAAGCTGAGAATTCAGCAACAATAAAAATCCATTTTCACTGTGAAACTTCTAGTATGTTGGAAGCATCACAATACTTATGTTCTGTATGTGTCTACACTGGCGTTTCTGTTATTACATATGAATTTCCCAGAGTGTGTCTTAAATTCTTGGTATCTTTTTGTGCAAATCCAATCTTCTATTTTTATATAAAGGTTTAACTTTTACAATGAGTGTCTCTGGAATATGCCTGAAGTTTTGAGAAATAAAATTATTATTCTTATACTTAAAAATTAATTTATCTCTAAAACTTGGCATTTGCATTTCCTGATGGATTCTAAATAACATTCACAATTATTTATTACTACTGCTGTTAGTAGTAATTACTCTTCTCTAACAAAATAGGCAAACTCAACTCATACCTTCAGGCTACTCCTGCTTAATTGGCAAAACTTTTATTTCAGTGGATCAGAATGTGTATTTAGTCCTAATTTTCTTTACTTGTATGAAAGTCTATTTTTCTTATCTATATTTGCACTGTTTAAGATCTCTGATTTTCTTAGATGAACCTTCATTTATTATTTATTACTTTGGAAGAATTTGTCATAATCAATATCATACATCAGAAATATACAGTACTTAAGCTTGAATTTATTCTTAAACATCACTAGTCCTGTAATCTCATTATCTCTGCCTGTAGAGAAACCAACAGCTCCACAGAAAAAGAACATTCTAGAATCAAACTCTGCCCCCAGTTACACCAACCTAAAGCTAAAGAGTTCATGTCAGTTGTTCTTAATTTCATTTCAAATTCAAAATATCGGCAACAATTTTATTTTCATTCTAGTGTCCCAATTACCCAAAGTTGCACATCATGCCTGTGTATATTCTGTATACTTGCTGCAAATCAGGAGACAGTGGAATATTCTTTCATTTTAAGCATGTTCAAAATATTTGCATTCTTTTTTTCCAGAATTAAAGCATTTGTATATGTATTTAAACATGTTTTGTATCAAATGAGAGGTCAGTAAATTCTTTTTGAAAATGGAGGTTTGTGAAAACATTTTTTTGGGGGAAAAAAAATCCACTATATGTTACATGTGTCAACAGAAATTTAATACCTTTTTCAATTCACAAATTTTCAATTTCAAATAGTTGGAAAGCTCAGATTTATCTTCCTTTATAAGCTTTGAAGACGGAATCAATTGGAAGGAAAAAAATAATTTTATTTCACCATTTTTTGAAAGTAAATGATAATAACAGATATAATTGGTCAGGCTAAGGTCTTTGAGACTTGTCTCCAATAGCTGACAAGTAACAGATATTTCCAAAAAGAAAGCATGTGTCCAGTGACTTTTTTTCCTGGGATAACCTCTCAGCCTCTTGGAAATCAATAATTTAGGAGTTATTTGAGACAGGTGCTGCCTCTGGATTACTGTATTTCACAAGTTATGTCCTCCAAAAATTTATCAAACCTTTTAAGAAATTTTAAAGTTTCCCATTTTTTTACAGAAAAATAAAGAAAAAGAAAAAAAAAGTTCCATAAAACTATCAAATAAATAAAGAATGTTTGCATTCTTTATTTTTTCCAAAACCAAATCAGTTTGTTTCAGAGTACTTATTTTATAGTTTCTCTTCCAATATGCAGCTATTTCAACTTGAGTGATACACGAGTACAATACTATTTTATCAAACATTCTAGACATTAAGTGAAAAACCTGTCACTGCTAAAGACAGATGAGACCCTAAACCAGTACAAGTGAGATTTTCACATAAAAATGAAGAACAAGTGACAATTACAATTTCTAACTTACTTTGTCTGTAAATACATTCCAGTACCAAAAGCTGTTTATTTCTTGAAAGGCTTGCAGGACTGAAGTTCCTGGACTGTTTCCTACTCCATTATTGCAGAGTGAAACCACAAAAAGTTGAGGCATTGTGCTTCAATCCTTTAAATAAAGTTTATTTACGAAGTCTTGGAGTACACAAAGTCTTGGAGAATTTTAATGGGATAAATACCGTGCTACATTCTACCCCAGTCCTGTGCGTGAAACCTGATTAAAATCACTAGAATGGGATGGTATAACTGACAGCAGAATTTTGTGCCTCTGAACAGATTTAGGGAAGAAACTGTTACCATTAACAATCTAACTACATTTCAAAATTAAATATGCTGCTCTTCTTTTATAGCAATTTTACACTTCTGTGGAATGTGTAGTAGTCATGTTCCCTACACTTATCTAATTATTTTGGTGCAATAGTGATAATGTTGCAGAACTAAGATACTGTTCTAATTGAAAATTACTGTCAAAGTCCATATATATATTGTACTGTAACACAACCACTGACAGTATATACAGAAATGTATTGGCCCTCTTTCCTATGCAAAAAGTTATTTCCTCATTAAATTTCTTCAAGAATGTTTAAACTGTTAAATTTTAAACTGCCAAAGGTGTCTGGAGAGAATAATGATGTGTCATTCCTTTTTTCAAACTGTGTGTAGAAAATTAAAAATGTGTTTTAATTTTATATGTTACTTGAAAGGTTGAAATATTGAAGTATTAATAAATAGATAATATTTTTAGATCAAATATATGAAGACACTTTGTGAAATATTTGTGCTACGAAAATTATATATGATTTCCTGTTAGGCCATGTATTTACTTCTAACTGGAATAACATGTTGACTTGTGATTTAATATTTTGTAGTGTTCTTTAAGGACCAATTCACTTTAATAAGACACTGTTAAGTCTGAAGGTAAAATGATGCTCATGTATTTACCACACATTGTATCATGCTTATGTTTAGTCACAAAAGGGATCTTTATTCATGTGACACATGAATAAATGTGACACATTGATCTCTGTAGAAGAACTTACCTTAGGACTTCTCACTGAAAAAAGACCTGAGACTAATAGTTTAGTTTTGATTGCCTAAATATAAACAACTAAATTAATGTAGACATCCTAGTTACTTAGGAGAATAAATACCTATTTTGAGGAATAGCCAGCTAGAAAAATATTTTTGTGTAGCTTTATATAAATTGCTTAGCTGCCTAATGAAAATAAGCAATGAAATAGCTTTATTTCTATTCATTACTGTACATTTAAAAATGTAGTGCTTAATATGTGATACAAAACTGTACACATCATGTTGAAAAATGGAGACCTTTATGTATTTAGCTACAGGTTATTTGTTTTCTATGGATATTAAGGTATTCTTTGTTAACATTGTCTAAAGTAGACATGTGTCCTTAATTTTATCTTACAATTCTGTTAACTGTGGCAACTATGTGCAAGTTAATTAAGTATCCATGTTCCTGAATTATTTAGAGATTAATTATTTGGTAATTGTTTTGCGAGTTCTCTCAATTGTGGTAATGGTTACTGTGAATTTTTGCCACATTTAACTTTTTGTTCCAACATTGTGAATTATATGATGTGCGAACATGAGAAAGTACATTCATATTTTTATTTGGCATTAATTGCCTATAAAATAGCGTGCCTGTATGTTTGTGTCTATATGGTATTAGCTGCCCAACTAGCACTAAAGGAAATTATTGATTAATATAAGGTAATAAGTTCCCAAGTGGCTTTAAATTTCACAGGTATGAATATAGTTAGGAAGCAGCTTTCTTCTCAAAGTTAGATATATCAGGTGCATAAAAATTAGATAGATTTTTTTCGGTATAATATTTTCATATATGCAGTGGTAATGGATGCACATGCATAACTTCTTTCAGACAGTGCATCTCCTAATACACAAGGTTTTGATTTCTTGGCTGTTCATCCTGTAGTATCTTCTGTCAATATAATGAGTAATGTTGCAGTACTGATATTGAATCGTTATATGATACTGCTTTAATTAATTAGATTACAGCCTTTAAAATAAGTGACACATTGAACTGACTTGAACAATGATCTCTATCATTATATATTTTTTCTCATGCCTTGCTGGCAGTGTCTTACAGTGAGCATAATATGTCTCCCATGTGTAATATTCTCTTTGTAGTTGTGTTTGTCAGACTGTTTGT